GACAGTGCGATTGGCACAGGACAGAGCGGAGTTTAGGGCTGTTGTACATAGGGTCGCTATGAGTCGCAGGCGACTTGACGGCACATAACAAACAAAAAACACAATGTTGAATTGGATCTGACCTGAACAGGAGGAGGTTGCTCCTCCTTCTCCAGTGGAGCATCTGGTGGTGTCGAACCACTTATCTTTGGGATTGCAGAACAGCTTCTTACCAGTAGGCCACCAGAGCTCCCTAAGTGATATTTTTTAAATTTAGTTTAACATATTCAGAATACAGTGGAACCATAGGAAGAAGACAAAGTTAGAAAGGAAAGGATATGTATTTAAAGTGTTCATACAAATGAGTTTGTGCTGTCATCTGTAGCTGCTAGTCCACAATATCCCATAGCCAAGTTTGAAGACTCAGCATGCTTTCACACTAGGGATGCCCAAGTTTCAAAATTTTCATTTAAAAAAATGATTTACATTAAATAAGTTGTTGTTATGTGCCATTGAGTCACTTGAGACTCATAGTGACCCTATGTATGATAGCTCTGAACCTTGTTCTATCGTGAACCAACTTTATTGTCTTGGACACACCTACCCCCATTACCCGAGTCACGGAGTCAATCCATCTCATCAAGGGTCTTCTTCTCTATCTCTGTCCCTCCACTCTCCCAAGCATGATGGCCCTCCTTGCAACGTGTCCAGAGTATGTCAGATGAAGCTCCAGAATGCTTGCCTCCAAGGAGCAGCCTGGTTTCACCCTCTCCTGGATGAACTTGTTTGTTCTCCTAGCAGTCCATAGTATATTCAATACTCCTCTCCAGCACCACTACTCAGAGGGATAAATTCTCCTTCTATCATCCTAGTCATTGTCCAGCTTTCTGATGCATAGAAAGCATTTGCAAAGACCATGACTGACATCACTGCTCTTCACTACTCTGGAGAGGTCCCTGACAGCAGACTTTCCCAATACAATTCATCTTTTGATTTACTGGCTGCTGGTACCAAGAGTGTTGTTTGTGGAGCCAAGCAATTTAAACCTGTTACTATTATATATTTCAAAACATTCCCATGAATTAAAGTTCAAAAAGTACTGACACACAACAAATGAATGGATTGAGAAATTAGGGCACATTCACACAATGGAACACTATGCAGCATGTAGGAGGAATGATTTCATAAAATACTATATAACATGGGAGAGGCTAGAGAGCATTATACTGAGTAAACTACCTCAGTATCATAAGAACAAATACTGCATAACACCATTATTTTATAGAAGGGTAAGTGGTAAAGTGTGTGAATAAATGTCCAGTGGGAGAAGGGGTGGGGGAAACGGAGGGAGAAATCACTGAGTCCCAGAGTTTGGTGGGTGGGGTAGGGCCTGAAGAAATTAGAATAGATCTAATGGGCATCTGAACTGTTCCGCTGTGGGCAGAGATCAATGGTGATTGATTTTATAAAATACAGTGCATGAGAATGATTGTATGAAACACAACACGAATAGAGGAATGTGTGAAACACAATACACATGGACGAAATACAATGCATATTAATTTTGTATGCAAATCAAAATAAAATTTTAACAATTTACCCCTCAAAATACTGACACAGTCGTCACTTAGGTAGACACATGACAGTGATAATCCCATACCCTATACAGAGCCTCTTACCTATTTTGACGATGTTCACTGTTTGGCAAGTTAAGCTTTTCTGCCCAAGTTTCACACACATTTTGTTGTCTCCGATCAAGATGAACTTGTTTGTTTTGATGAAATATGTGTATTGCATCTTATTCATAATTAGGCATTTTTCTTTCCAGGAGACATCACTATAGAAACAAAAAAGGAATCAATTTGAATTCAAACAAGAAGTTTCTACATGCAGTACAAGAACATATGTGGGCTACAGCAGTTCTTGAAGGAAGTTTTAAGCATTGATTTCTGGTACTAGAAAAGGAGAAAGTTTTAAAATATACATATTAAGTGTCTACATTAAGAAACCAGAAAAAGACAAAGAGATTGAATCCAACATAAATTGATGGCAGAAAATAATAAGGTGCAGAGGAAAATGTAATAGAAATAGACAATAGAAAAAGTTAAAAAATGGTCTCTTTCTAAAGGGTACTAGAACTGACACACACTAATAAGATTGGTGAAAAAAAGGAAGCAAAATACATAAATTGTCAATACCTGGAATATTACTGTAGATTATTCAGACATTAAAAGTATAATAAAATATAAAATTTCATACCAAGCAATTTAATAATTTAGATGTGATGAAATTTTTTATGGAAGTTAATAGAATGAACCAGAAGAAACTGAATATCTAAACAGTTATATTTCTTTCAAAGAAATGGAATTTGTTAGGAAAATACTACCAGAAAAAGAACACTCTATGCCCTGATGGTAATATACTGGTGAATTCATTAAAATTCTTAGGACAGACAGAGTAGCAATCTTATCTAAATTCTTGCAGAGAATAGAGGTGAAGGGATTAATTTTCAATTTATAAAGTAATCTTTACTTTGGTACCACATACTGGCAAAAACTGTTACTGAAAAAGAATTTCCAGAAGACATAATCAAGAATGTGTAGATAACAAAACCCAAACAAGTAGTAGAATATTAATTAAAAAATCAAGGTTTTTTAAAAAATGTACAAGCTCATTCTAAAATTCATGAGAATATACAATGAATCTAGAAATTCCAAAATGATACAAAGATAAAACATAGAACAAGCATCAAAGGAGCCCAAGCACTTGGTTTCAAATTCAATACAGAGCAATAAAAAGAATAATCAGTTCAGAAACAGGCTTACAAAGGCTGCGAAGGTAAACTGACCTTAACCGCAGTTTCCAATCAGTGTTTACAAAGTGATAGACAATATTTCCAGCCAATAGAAGTAAATGTATGGAAAATTAATTTGATAATTCAGAAAATTAAAGAAGGGTTCTAAAACTAAACATACAACATTTGGGAGTGCTGATGGTGTGGTCGTGATAAAGAGCTGCACTGTCAACACTAAGACCTGTGGTTTGAATCAACCTGCTGCTCTGCTAGAGAAAGATGGATTGTCTCCTCTAGTCTAATTTACTGCCTCTGAAACTCGCCGTAATGTTAACTGTGAGTTAGTTTTGGCTCAATGGCACGTAACAACAGCATATAGCACTTAGAAGAAAACTGAACTGGATGAGATGGATTGATACAGTGACTGGGGCAATGGAGGTTGGTGTGTCCAAATTAGTGAGACTGGCTCAGGACAGGCAAGGTTCAGAGTGGCTGTGCACAGATTGCTATGGGTTGCAGGGGACTTCATTGCATATAACAACAACAGGAGCAGCAGCAGCAGCAGCAACAACCACAACAACAACAAAACAACAAATCTTTGGGGATTGGTAAGCAAAGATATATTAGAAAGGACATAAAAAGGGCTTAACATTAAAAAATTGGTATACTGGATTTCATTTTTAAAAAAGATACTTTTTCTTGTTATACAACACCAAGAACTTGGAAAGCTATAGACTAGTAGAAAATAGGTCTATTTACATAAAGCTGGCAAAGCAATTGTATCTAGAATATATGAAGAAATATATCCGATAAAAACTACTGCTACTGAGTCAATTCTGACTCCTAGCAACCCTATAGGCAGCTCTAGTGAGCAGTTGGCAGGGAACTGTGCTGTTAACCCAAAGGCTGGTGGTTCAAATCCACCAGCTGCTTTATAGGAGAAAGATAAGCAATCTCCTCTTGTGCAATTTAGAGCCTCTGAAAACTCACTGGAGACCCAGCTGAGTTGATTTTGACTTGATGGAATGACACACACACACACACACACACACACACACACACATATATATATATATATATATATATAGAGAGATATATAGAGAGAGAGAGAGAGAGAGAGAGAGAATATAACCCTATAGTACAGAGAGTACAATTTCCCCATAGAGAGAGTTCCTAAGGCTGTAAATATGGAAGCCAATTGCCACATCTTTATCCCATGGAGCCTTGGTGAATTTGAACTGTTGACATTTCAGTTGGCAGTTAAAGTGTTTAACTGCTGTGCCAAATTCTACTGCACAGCCGTGGTGATCAAGACAGCGTGGTATTGGAACAGTGACAGATATATGTAGGTTAATGGAATAGAATTGAGAACCCAGGAAACAGCCCATCTATCTATGGTCAACCGATTTTTGGCAAGGAGATGAAATCAGTTAAATGGGGAAATGAAAATCTCTTTTAAAAATGGTGTTTGGAAAACTATCTGTAGAAAACTTAAGCAAGACCCACACCCAATGCTATACAGAAAAACCAACTCAAAGTGGATGAAGACCCTAGCAGTAAAGCCAAGGACAATAAACTTCATCAGCTAAAAGCTTGGAAGAAGTCTAGAAGCCCTAATCCATAACATGAACAATCTCCCAAGCATTCTGAAAACCTACAGCCAGGAGAGAATAAAATAGATGAATTGGATTCTCTAAGAATCAAATCCCTATGCACATCCAAAAACTTTTCCAACAACCGAAAATGAAAGCCACAGACTAGGAAAAAAATATTTGGTAATGACATGTCTGATAAAGGACTTATATCTAGAATTTATAGAATACTCCAGCACCACAACAAGATAAAGGTAAACAACCCAGTTACAAAATGGGCACAGGATATCAACAGACACTTCACCAAAGAAGACATTCAGATGGCAAACAAACAAGTGAAGAAATGTTCAAAATCCCTAGCTCTAAGAGAGGTGCAAATCAGAACAACTATGGGATATAATCACATCCAAGTAACAATAGCAAAGTTTAACAGAGCAGCAAACAACAAATGCTGGCAATGTTATGGGGAAATTGGAACCCTTACTCACTGTTGGTGGGAATGTAAAATGGTGCAACCATTCTGGAAGGCAGGATGATGCTTTCTCAAAAAGTTGGAAACAGAAATACCATTTGACCAGACAATTCCCCTACTATATATCTTAAAGAAACCAGAGCTGCCATCTAAACAGATGTATGTACACCCATGTTTATAGCTGCATTGTTCACAATAGCAAGGAGATGAAAGCAACCCAAGTGCCCATCAACAAATGACTGGATAGAGAAGCTGTGGTATATTCACACAATGGAATACTGTGCAGCACTGTAAAACAAAGAACTAAAAATATTATACCAAATGGGTGACCCTGGAGGACATTAAGCCAAGTGAAATATCTCGGTCACAAAAGTACAAAGACTGCATAGCGGCACTGTTATAAAACAGGACTGACAGGAGGGTTGAAGAGAAACTAAGAGGGGATAAATAATGAGGAAAAGAACTCTCTAAAACAAATATATGATTAAGTATTATTTGCATGACAACAGTCCAGAATAAGAGATTCAGAGCTATTGTACATAGAGTCACTATGAATCACAAGTGACTTGACAGCACATAACAACTACAACAACGAGGATAAAGCAAGTTCACAATGAACTTTTCACTCAAAAGAAATGAAAACATTTATTTACAAAATGCCTTGCAACAAAGCAGTAACAACAACTTGAAAATAGAGAGGCACCTAAGACTTTTAAAAAAAATGTCCAAAAGGAGAATAGATAAATGTTTTGTGTTTTTTTTTATTTTAGCAAATGAATACAGTGGAATTCCCACCTCACAAGATAAAAGATGAGCTTTGAGACAAGCATCAGCGTGAACAAATTTCAGAAACCTTATTTTGAGTGAACAGTGGAGATAGAGCTGACACTGAGCTGTTCTAGTTGTGAGAGCTATCAGGAACTTGTAAAACCAATCTTTGGTGATGGAAATCAGAACTGTGATTTCTTAGCTAGTTAAGAATTGACTGGACATGAGGTATCTTTCTGAAGTGAAAGAAATATTTTACATCTTCATTAAAGTGATGACTACATATTGTATCTCTTTCTCAAAAGTCACATAAGACTTTGATTCATGAAATGTAAATTTTACCCAGAAAAAGAAAACAAGTAAAAGCAAGTCGGGAGCTCTGATGGGCTAGTGTCAAGAAGCTGCCCAGAAACTCTGAAGGCCCATGAGTTAAATCCACCAGCTACGCAGTGGGAGAAGGATGAGAGGTGTCCTGTGCGATTTACTGCCTCTGAAAATCCACAGGAGGGTCAGGTATGAGTCGGTTTTGACTTGATGGTACACAACAACAACAGCACTAGTAAGAAAAAGGTAAGAATCATAAATGGTCTGGGTAACTTGTCAGGCTATCAACTACGAGATCATCAGCAGTTCTAATCCACCAGGTGCTACTCTGGCGAAAGATACGCAGTCTCCTCTCTCAAAGGTTCACAGCCTTGGAAAACTGGATGGAGAATCTCCAAGAGTTAGACTCAGCTCTATGACTGCAAGTAGTAAAACATTAGAGAAATAGTGTAAAGTATATATTCTCATTGTAAAAAATACACTCTATTGTTGTTGTCAACTTTCAAGTTGACTATGATGCACATGAACAGCAGCTCTGAATCCTGCCCTATCCTGAGCCAACCTCACGGTCTCCAATACACTTTCCCCTAGTGCTATAGTCACTGTGTCAACCCATCTCATGCAAGATTTTCCTCTTCTGAGCTGACCCTCCACCCTTCCAAGCATCATGTTCTTCTCCAAAGACTGGTCCCTCCAGGTAACAAACCCAAAGTGTGTGAGACAGAGCTTCAAAATACAGAATAAAAAGTAAAATTGCTGTTTTCCCAACTTTCATTTTCATTTCTCTCTGTAATTGGTAACCAGGTTGGTGACGACTAGGAATGTCAGCAAAATGGTTTTTAGCTCAGGAGTTTCTATTTCTACCTCTTAGCTGGGTGGGAATATGC